GAGAAAATGCTCTGAATTGCAGGGGAAAAGGAAAGAAAAGGAAAGAAAAGGAAAGTAAAGGAAAGAAAAAGAAAGAAAAGAAAAGAAAAGAAAAGAAAAGAAAAGAAAAGAAAAGAAAAGAAAAGAAAAGAAAAGAAAAGAAAAGAAAAAGAAAAGAGAAAAGAAAAGAAAACCTGGTACAAAAATACTTTAAAGAGGGATTTTGTAAGTAGATTTGAAAGAAAAGCTGCTAAAGACAGAGAAAGGCTTTCTATAAATGAGGAATCCTTTCATTTGTGTTTCTCTTACAAAACAGCACAGGAAATCACACAGGATGTGCTGACGAGGAGAAGGAAGTGGTTTTGAGGATGACACTGAGCACTGAGGGGGATGCCAGCCAAGCTGGGTTCTCATGCAGGGTTGGTGCTCCTGCCAGTCCCACCCTGAGCTGTGCCCGAGTGGGGATGGAGAGTCTGGGGAGCTCCGTGAGCACCCCCTGAGCCAAACCCCAAACTGCCCCAGCCCCTTTGGCCCCAGGGTGCTGCTGGGGTGCTGCAAAACCTGCTCAGGAACTGAAACTTCTGAAGCCTTCCCGAGGTGTCTGGTGAAGGCTCCACCTCGTGAGAGCCCTGCTCCACTCGGGACACTTGTGGGGAGCAGGCAGAGCGTGGGGAGGTGTTATTGTAGAACCAGGGCAAAGCACTCAGCTCCTGGGGAACGGGAGCCTGCCTTGGCCATTTTGAAGTGATTACAGCAAACAAGATAATCCGTGGTTATTGAGGTCCTTGGCGTGTTATTTTCCTTTCCCTCTTGATGTGGTGTGCAGGTTCAAAGGCAGCAGCAGAGCTCTTTGCTCCCCAGGAGGTGCAGGGGGGTTTTTCTCAGCAGACAGCCTTGTGTGACTGCTGCCATCACATGTGCTGCTGCAAATGAAAACAGTTTCTGTTCTAGACACTCGTTTACCACAGATTTGAATAGGCTTAAAAATAACTGTGCACACAAATAATACACAGGGGTGCACCAACAGAATTTTGTGAGTATATATATATATCCATATCTATCTGTCTGTCTATCATCTGTCTATCTATCTATCTCTGTATGTATTTGGCATATTTTCAGTGAAGGTGCCTGTGTATTTCTTCAGAGAGTCTGTCTGTGCTTCTTTTCCCTCTATCTATCTAATCTATCTATCTATCCATTTTTCTATCTGTCTGTCTATCATCTATCATCTGTCTGTCTGTCTATCTCTGTATGTATTTGGCATATTTTCAGTGAAGGTGCCTGTGTATTTCTGCACAGAGTCTGAGTCTGTGCTTCTCTTCCTCTGTAGCTCAGATTCTTTTCAGCTAATCTACACGACTTTTAAGCAGTTGAGTTCAGGTCAGTAGCTGCATGAAGTTGAAAAATCTTAAATTTCTCTCAGAGCCCTTAAATCCAAACCCAGAGTAATATAGTTATTCATGAGGCTTGCTCATAAATGGTTCATTACATTGTTATATTGGTGAGCCTATAACAAAATGCAGGTTCCCATCTCCATGCTGTTTGTTACTTGTGAAATTCAGGAGGCTGACTCCACAGCATTTAATTTAATCAGATCCAGTGCAGATCTAGCAGTGCCTGTTTGTGTGGATTAAATCTCCTAACACAGTAATGCATCAGTTCTGTCAGCTCCTGCTACAAAACTGAAATAAATTTTCTGCTGTCACGGAAGCATCAGAGGGGTGAATGTCAGAAGGAAAAACCCCAGCTCTCAGCTGTGTGGCTCAAAGGCTCCCTGCTTCAGTGGCACCTGCCCTACCTCCCCTCATAAATGTGAAATGTGAAATGTGCTGTGTGTCTCTGTCTTCCAGGCAAAACATGGCTTCAAGCCCTGGCTTCTGCAGCAAAGCAAGGGACAGCTTTTTCATCAGTGAGAAAATACTCTGGACAGGACAAGAAGGAATAAATGTAGTCACGTTTTAAACCTGCAATTTATAAAACACAACTGAATTCCAAATATGCTGGAGAAAGAAGCACCCTTGCCTAATAAACAAGATCCACCTGCTGTTTGCCTCTTTTAGTTTCAAGGTTTCTCTTTGCTGCTGGAAGTGTTCTTTGTGAGAATTAACTTCCATAAATTGTTGCAGATTGAGGTTTAGTGTTTTTCCAGTTTCCCAAGTGGAGGTCAGCTCCTGATGCTCCTGTGCTTCAAGGTAAAACAACACGGGTTTTCATGATGGGAAAAATGAGACAAGTGAGATCCTTGCTGCAGAGGTTTTCCAAGAGCCCTGGGGCCTAGGCTACCCCCACTGCTTTCCTTGGATGAAGAGCAAAGAGCAAGGATTGCTTCAGTGCAGTTCAAGATGGAAAACACTTTTACAAGTGAAGGAAAGATGGATTTCCCCCAGAACAGTTTCCTGGCTAGTGGAAGATCCTCCCCAGGCAGGCTGCATTGCTGCTGCCCCAGGGTGGGTGCAGCCACACACCTCTGCCTGACCAGGTCCTGCTGTGAGCCCTGGGGCTGCCCTGGCTCCCAGGGCTGCCTGCCCACCCCAGGGCAGTCTCAGCTCCTGCAGGCAGCCCCTGAGGCCCTGGCAGGGTGGAAGAGGCTCCCAGGCTGGCCCTGCACAAGGGTGGATGCTCAGCAGGGCTCAGCTGCTCCGAGTGCTCCCTTCAGCAGCCAGGCTTTGGGAAGAGCTCAGCTCTTCAGAGACTGAACTCTGGAAAATCTGCTCGGTTGTGGAACAAAAGGAGCTGCCACACACTAATTCATAGTGATTCTATCTCTAAGAAAAACCACTTAGCAGACCTGGACAAGGGCTGAAGCTGATAAGGAAAGAACTCATTAAACTGATAGAATTAGAGATCTCTTTTAGCCTTCTCCCCATCTGTCTTTTGCCACCTGTCACTCACTGTTGTTTCTGTAACTCAGAACTGTGGGTTTGGGGAACAGAGATTATTTCTTCCTACATCTTCTTCTTAAGGTTCTTTTAACATTATATAATTACCAATAACACAAAGGGAATAAGGTATGAGAGCTGCAGAAAACCAATCTTTGTGATGCTGCTCTTGACAGCAAAAAGCCCCTTCTAGCTCCCAAATCCTTTATAGTAAGTACATCTCCTAAATAAAACATGATAAGACTCAAAAAAATGAAAACCCAGCAAAGCCCCCTGGAAAACATCTGTAACTAACACATTGCTGGAGCCAGCAGAGGGATCCTCACCCCCTTGGCTGTTGGTTCAGGCTGAGAACAACACCAGGAGCAGATGACTGTGTTCAAACACCACATTTCCCATGGATGCTGAAGAAACAAACCTTAAATATATTTGTATAGATATAGATGTTTTAATGATATTTTTATTATTTTTTTCCCCAGGAAGGCTTGGGAGAAATCAGAGATCAAGGAACACAGGACTAAGAGCTCCTGGCCAGCCCAGCCCAGCACAGAGTGGAGCAGGGCCCCACTGCCCCAGCCCAGAGGGGTATTTTCTGTCAGGGATTTTCTCTCTGTATTTTCTCTCTGCTCCCATCCTCACTCCACCACTCCCCTCCATTGCTTCAAGGCAGTGCAGGAAGCCCTCAGGGCCTCAGTGTCAGAGGCTGTTCACAGACATCTTGTTTTCCCTTCTCATGTCACAGCTTGTCTAGCAGAATAATTCCTTTTTTTTAATGTTTAAATGCCTTTTTGTATAAAGAAAAGGTGTACAGTGAAATCTCAGTAAATGGGTACTCAAGTATTCTGCTTCATAAGCCTGTTTTTGTTTCGTTTTTTGTTTAAATTTATTATGAAGACAAACACTTTCAGAAAGTCCATTTTTATTTCCCAGCATCTTTCATTTCTTTTGGCTGAGCACCATCAGCCAAATAGGTGTAATAAAACCATGGAAGAAAAGCAAATGCACAACAAGGAGCTTTACCTGGGCAGATGTAAAATTGCACTCATTAAAGAAGCACATTTGGGCATAAAATGCAGCTCAAAAACCTCCATTAAGAGCCTCCACTAGGGAAAAAGATTGCTTTGACCTTCAGAGATTGACGCAATGTGTGCTGTTTATTAATAGTTGTAGTAAGAAAGTATCTATACAGGGGGTTGTCTTGCCTTTTCATCAACCCATAGGGCTGATGAAAACTCCCTGCTCTTAGGTTGATGTCCATCAAAGGATTTTTTTGTTCCTCTGATGATGAAAGTAGCACTGTGAATGCTGCAGGACTCTGGGCTTAATCCCATGCACCAGCTTTCCAGAAAGGGAAGGATGGCTCCAAGGCTCCCAAAAGCTGTTCTGTATGGGAGAAATGCTCTCTGAACCATGAGGGGTTTGGGATGACTCCTTGGGGAAGCATCTCCTTGTTTCCCCTCATGAGGTGTTTCCTGCCCTCCAGGTGGTTTTCTGTAATCAAGATTTTCAAGATCTCCTTTCACGCTTTTGCTCACGATTTGTGCTGGGTGTAATTACGCGTGCTGAGGGGCTTTGAACACCACTCTGAACCATCAGCAGTACAAACCTGTCTCTTTGCTGTGTGAGAGTTTCTCCATCCTCAACAAAAATCATCTAAATTTTATCAAACCACCCATTTCTTTGTTGACAGCACTCTGCTTGCCCAGGCCAAAAGGAGCAAAGCTGACACACAAAGAGGAGTAAAGCTGACACAAGAATGCCACTCTCAGGCCTTAACACTCACATTTAATGAGTCAGGGCCTGGGAAGGGTTTGTGACGTTACTTTTCACAGGCAGCGAGAGCAGGGCTTTGTTTTTTCCCTTCCCCATCCCTGGAAGTTTTCAAGGCTGTGTTGGATGGGGTTTGGAGCAACCTGGTCTAGTGGAAGGTGTCCTGTCCCATGGCAAGGGGGAAGGAACGAGGTCCCTTCCAACCCAAACCATTCCGGGATTCTCAGATCCCAGGATTCCTTCCCCAGAGCCTCTCCCCAGCCCAAGTGAGCCAGCCAGCAGAGGGAGCGCAGCACATGAGCTCACAAAAATAGGAGCCTGCTAAAAAAAACCCGCCCCAAACAAACCCAAACAGCAGAATGATTATGGTCTTTAGCAGAATAAACAGAATCGTCAGGAGGCAGAAGCTTTTCCCCTGGCAATGAGATCCAGCTGCAGGCTGGATGGGGAGCAGGCACCGCATCTGGCAGCGAGCGAATTCCTCCGGTGAGGAAATCCCCGTGGTGAGGATGTTCCCCTGTGCCACCCCTGCTCTGGGGTGGGGTCCCCACGGTGAGGATGTTCTCCTGTGCCACCCCTGCCCTGAGATGGGATCTCCATGGTGAGGATGTTCCTGTGTGCCACCCCTGCTCCAGGGTGGGTAAATCCCCATGGTGAGGATGTTCTCCTGTGCCACCCCTGCTCTGAGATGGAGTCCCCACGGTCAGGATGTTCCCGTGTGCCACCCCTGCTCTGGGGTGGGTAAATCCCCATGGTGAGGATATTCCCACGTGCCACCCCTGCTCCAGGCTGGATTCCATCCCACGGTGAGGATTATCCCGTGTGCCACCCTGCTCTGGGGTGGGTTCCATGGGTTCCATCCCATGGTGAGGATGTTCCCCTGTGCCAGCCCTGCCCTGAGATGGGGTCCCCATGGTGAGGATGTTCCCCTGTGCCAGCCCTGCTCAGGGTGGGTTCCATCCCATGGTGAGGATGTTCCCCTGTGCCAGCCCTGCTCCAGGCTGGGTTCCATCCCTTTTTCAGGCTCCTTGGCAGAAGCACCTCTGCAGCTCCCCCTCAGAGCACAGCAGCTGTGGAGGAGCCAGGATGGAGCTTCCTCTCACAGAGGGTGCAGGCGGTGGCCAGGGTGACAGCAGTGTCACAGCTGCGGGGCTGTGGGGCCTGCTCGTGCTCTGGCCATGCTGCAGATTTGGGCTAGAAGCTGGGAAGTTTGGGGCTTGCCTGCCAGCAGTGCAGTTCTGCAAACAGCACGATGTGATCCGCACGGGAGGGTGGAAGTTAACCCGCCTGTCTGTCTTCAAGAGGATCCTAAATAAAGACCAGCAGGAACTGGAGGTGTTCTCTGGGACTTTACCATCTACAAAAGGGTTTTTCCAAAGGTTTGGGAACTTGCCTCACCTGACACATCCTCCTTGTGTCTGGGGGTGGGGGAGCAGAGCTCATAGGCTGTGTGGCTGGTTTGTTTGGGGGGCTGCAGCAGCTGGTCCTGCTGGAAGCGTTTAACTCTGGGGCTTGCTGCTCTCCCCTGCACTCCCTGGGATGAGAGGCAGCGAGATGATTTCTCACACATCCCTGCCAACATCTGGGCCCTCAATATCTCATTTACTGCTTGTGAGCTGTCTCAAAACAGGACAAACTGCACATCCAATATCTGATCCTTCACTCAGAAGGATGGGGAGTTTTGATAGACTCACTTCAGCCAGGATCTGTATCTGACACAAACCATTTCTGCAGCAGGCTGGTCATTATCTGGAGCCCAGTGTTTGCAGGGTATTTCCATAAGAGCTCTGCAACCCTTCAAATCAAATGCACTGCTTTCATTGTGGATTAGAACTGCAGTATGCAGCCAAGGTTTAGTTTTTAACAAGGATTTAAACATTTAAAATTCTTTCAAAGCTGTAAGTAAGGCTCATAATTTAAACCCTCACAGACAGATATTGTGGCAAAAATATGAAGGCTATTTAAAGACAGTCAGCCTGCCTGTCCATCGATTTGTCACCTTCTAATCTGCCTGACACGTGCCATGGCCTTTCTCTTTCCAAACACAACGAGGCCAGGTCTGCACAGGCACGTGTGGAGTGACCTGAGCTTCCCCAGGGTCCTGCACACTGCCTGCCAGCTGCAGCCCAGCAATGGGAAAGGGAAAGGCCTGATGCTGATCACGGAATCACAGAATCACACACTGGTTTGTGTTGAACTCGTTTCACCCCCTGCCGTGGGCAGGGACACCTTCCACTACCCCACGTTGCTCCAACCTGGCCTTGGAATTTCCAGGGATGGGGCAGGCACAGCTTCGCTGCAGAGCAGCCTGGACCTGCCTGGATTGGAGGTTCAGCCTTGCTGCATGGGGAGGGCACCTGCAGGTTTGGTGGAGGAGTTTATCCATCCAAGGAATTCTTCCCTCTGAAGTCAGTGGTAGGAGGAGGAAGGCATTCAACTCACCACCAGATCCAGTTTCTTCTCTACTTGTATGGGAACAAGCATGACACAGAAACTACATCACTCTTTGGAATCAAGTGAGACACGACATTTCACTTTTTTAGGTGACCTGAGTGTATTTTGTCCCCCCTGTAGAGAATTAAATGATGCTCAGCCAAGTCAATCTCTTACTTGGTCAGGCCTTTACAGCTTCCCTTCATTGGCCAGGGACCAGTTGCCTTGTATGGGAGCCACAGCTTCCAGAGAACCCACTCAGAGCCCTGCAGAGGTTTTTTGGGGAGGCAGGAGGGATCAGCAGCTTGGGCTGACACACACACATCTAATTCTGGCAGTACAGAGAGGGTAAAGGTGACAAACGACTCAGGGATGGCACATCTCACTTCCAAGGCTGGATTTAAAGAGTGGAAAAAATGTTGTCTAGTTACTTGTCTGAAAAAGTTTAGGAATATTATTTTAAAGATATTTTTGAAGTCAAAGAACTGAGCCTAATTCTGTCTTAAGAAAACCATTTTGGGGCTGACTGGAATGCCCTTTGTGTCAGTGGTGGTTGGAAAGAGAATCTGAGTTCATTTGGTGAATTTATATGAGGTGCTGGGGCATCTGAGCAAGAAAGCTCATTGCAGAAATTCTTAAGGCTCCATCCTCGTGGCTGAAGGAGCATTTCTAGGAGCTGGTCTGGTTTCTTTCTGAGAGATCAAAGTGCCCTTTGCCTTTAGCTTATCAAAGGGATTTGATTGTAGTGCTTGAGTTGTGCAGCAGTAGGCAGCTCTATGGGGCTTAGCAAGGATCAACATCTGGATACAAAATGCAAATGAGATCAAATTAGAAACCAGGAAAACCTTTTCAATAGTGTGAGATTGAAACAGCAGAGTGCTCTGCCAAGGGGAGCTTTTTATCTCTGAATAATTTTGAGCTATGGCTGATGACCTTTCTGCAGGTGCTTTTATCCATCACAAGTTCCTGGGCTCAGCACAAAAATAAATCTGAAGGGGGAGAAAAAATGCAGCAGCTTCTTTTGGCCTTAAGGTCTCACAAAGGTTGAAAAGGACAAGGCAAACTAATCTTGCCTTGTGTTTCTGAGATTATCGAGAAGATAAAGAGGTTGTTACAGTCCAGGCGTTGCTGCTAACTCCCTGCCACGCTTTTTTGCTGGCTGAGGTCTGTGCCTCAGTCTCTGCAGCCCATCCTTGGGTTTTGGGAGGGTTAATGGGTGTGTGCAGAGTGCTCTGGGTGAGGAGGGAGGGCATCATTTATTGCTGCAGAGATTGGAGACTCCCTGATGTGATTATAACGTGTAGTGATGGAGGCTATTTTTGTTGTATGTTGTGAATATTTCCTTGTATGGAATCACAAGGAGCCTGCTTGTGACTTGCAGCTCTGTTGAAAGCTCCAGCCACGAAGCTCCCAAAGTCTTTGACATTCCCAAGTCGGTGCTGTATGCAGCAGTGTTAATTAGCCTTGGGGGCAATGCTTAATATTGCTGAGATGATGATAATGGAAATGTCTCTGGGCTCTGCTCTTTGCAGAGGGATTGGACAGAGTGGCACAGCCTCCTCTGCACCTCGGGGCCTGGCATCTTGTACCTGCAGTGAGCAATCCCCAGGGAAACGGGAGGAAACTCTTAATTCTTCTTACTGATCCAGACTGCTGCTCAGCAAATCCCCTCGCCACTGGAGCTGCAGATCTGAAATGGCATTAAAGAGGAAATCAACCTTTTGCACAGTTTCCTCTTGGAAAGTGAGTGTTACTTCTAATTATAGCGATTGCAATGTTTCAAATGCTCTCCCAGGGACCAGGATGCTGGGGGTGGGGAGGGACAGCTGGAAATGCTGATATGTCCCCCCTGTCCCCTGATTCCTGGGTGTTATCTGTAACAGGAGTGGAGAGAAACAGTCCTGGCCGTGTCCCCACGCCACTCCTGGTGCTGGTCACCGCTGTGTCCCTGACAGGCGCCAGCCTTGGTGGCAGAAACACTTCTCCCAAGTTGTGGCTGCTTTTTAAAGAAGCTCAAACTGTCTTTTCCCCCCACCCCTCTCTTCCTCCAGCAGTTCAGTTCTCCAGTCCTTCGGCTTCCTTCTGATGGTGAGAAGCACATTGTGAGCGATCCTGCCCCAGGCCCAGGCCGGGCCCTCCTGCCAGGAGCCACCCGCCATGGACGAGTTGAGCCTGCCACCTCCTGGTGACACTCTCCAGGACTGACCACAGCTTGCAGCTTTACAGCAGCACATCCTGGCACTTCTCCGAGGCCCCTCGAGCCCCCTGACCCCAGAGATCTTTGCTGCTGTGGAGTTGTCCTTGTGGCTCTCCTGTGGGGTGTGGGCCTGTGGTTCCCCCTCTCTTGTCGGGGTGAGGCTCAGAAGCTCAGCTCTGTCCCCTGTGATGTGCTTGAGTTTGGTGTCTGATGCTTTGAGGGCCTGGATTTCCTGTGTGGAGAGCACACAGCACATGGAAAAGAGGTGGATTTCTGAGGAGGAGGGTCCAAGTTATCCTCTGGAGTGCGGCAGTGCATCCTCAGTGTTTGGCTCTGAGCCTTGCCTGGAGCACATCCCAGTTTTGGCCACCTGTTGCCCCTGGGTGGCTGGTGCTGGGTGCTGAGGGAGCCTGGCTTGCCCTGGGAGCTCACAGAGCCGTGTCCCTGCTCTGTGCAGTGTCTCTGGGTAATGTCATTGCAGCCACACTCAAATACCATCTCTATGGTGATGACTCAGGCATGCAGCCCCTCTCCGGGCTCTCCTCTCCCTGTCCAAATTCATATCTCAGAGGAGCTCTCTGACATCTCGTGAATGTCTCACCACCCTTTCAAGCACAGCACGGCCAAATCAGAGCTTTTAACCTCTCCTTCTCAGCTCAGGGACTCCCTGAGCTCAGCAGCACCAGGATGTTGCTTTGCTGCCAGAACCTGAGTCCTGGTTTCATCTCCTGCCTCCTCACATGTCTTCACATCCTGGGCACATCAACAGCTTGCATAACCTTGCTAAGCCTTTCCTAAAGCTACAGCTCTCACCTTCTCTTTCATCACATCCCCCTCCACTTGTTGCAATATCCTTTTTTGGCCTCAACAAACTCGCTATGGGCCAGCTTGCATCCACAGGGATGCTGTTTCAGACATTGCTTCCCACCTTTCCTGCCTCTCCTCCCTCATCCTCTGGGCTGCCCTGCTGCCCACAGCCACCCTCTGCCTTCCCTTGATCCCACCCATGTCCCTGCCAGCTGCCAGGCCTGTATCCTCCTTTTAATTCCTCATTTTATTTCTAAATTGTCAGCTTTGGGCTCACAGGCAACTTTCTTTGCTGCTTTCCTCAGCAATGCCAAGGCAATCAGGCTGCTGCACTTCAGTTGAGCTCCTATTGACTGGCACAAATGGGAAAACTCCTATCTTGTGAGCAGGGAAGGGGGCATTGGATGGACAGGGCAAAGGATTTCCCCAGGCTCTTGTCAGGGAGGTGGCTCCAAGGCTGTCCATCCATCCCTGGGGGTGCTGGGTGGGCAGGCTGGGGGACACAGGGCTGTCAAAGGCTGCTGGCAGCACTGAGCCCTGCCAGCCCTGCCCAGCAAAGGGGTGGCATTTCAGGTACCAATAAACACCCCTGGCTCCAGGCACAGGACTCAGCTTCTTGCAGCTGTTGGAGTGCAGCTACCCCAGAGGCTAAATAAACCTAAACAGGACCCGAAATAAGGATTGGGAATGGAAGATTCTTCAGGGGAGTGAGCAGGGCTAGAGCCTTCACCTGTGAGCACAGTGAGGCTGGGAGGATGAATTCTGCCTCAGGGTCTGAGCTGTCAGCTGCACTGGCATGGGGGACATGAAGGAATGCCAGGAGCTTGCTGCACTCCTGGGTCTGTCCCCTTGGTGGGCAGAGGAGGCTGTTCCTACAAACATGCTGCAGGACAGCTCTGGACCAGCCTCGTGCATAGGAAACACCAAAGAATTGGGGCAGAGCTGCTGCTGTGTCCCAGAAAGGTGTTGGCAGAGCCCGTGCCTGCAGTTCCCCTGCCAGCTGAACATTCATTTAACAGGAGCAGGGAGCTGTGATGTGCCTCTGCTCGAAAGCAAAGGCTTTCCATTAATTTATTGATGCTGGGCTCCAGCCTCATCTCTGCTCCTGCAGAAGGATGAAAGCAGCTCCTTGTTCTCTTCTGGCAGGAGCAGGGCAGGTGTGTGTCAACAGGAGTTTTATGCTGACATGTGAGGAGCTTATCCTAAAGCATCTCACTCCCAGGTTCCTCCTGCTGGTGCTGATGTGCATCCCTGTGCTCTGACATCCTGCAGCCCCCCGAGCCCCCAGGCCATGTCCTGACCTCTCTGCAGCCCTCACAAGAGCTGCCCTTCTCAGCTGAGCCATCCACATGAGGGGTGGTTTTAATGGGGCTGCAGAAAAGGCACACTTACACCCCCTGCTCTCATCCTTTCAGACAGGGAAAGGTTCTGTTCAGGAAGATTACATTGATTTTTTTTTTTTTTTTTTAATTTAAGGATGGAAATAGTAAGAGAACCTCACCACTGCTTAGCCGTGCTCTTCCTTCATTCCCCAAATCCTCCCAGCTGGGATTTCTTCACTTTTGCTCTGTCTCCACTGGGTTTCATCTATGGCATGATAAAAGCAGTGTCAGGTGTTCTGTTTTTCCAGTGAATTCATCCTGTGGCCATGGCCTGCCTGGGGTTAAAAACTATTGCTGGCCCATGGGCAGTTTGCTTTGCAGCAGAGAGCACAGCTGCTGGGAGACAAAAATCAGTGATGCAATCCCAATTTTGAAGAACTTGACTTTGGATCACATGATGCCACCCCAGAAGTCAGTGAAAGCACTGAGTGGGAAATCCCCTGAAGTTCCCAAATCCCCATAGTGTTCCCACGGCGCTGCCCTGGAGGGGTGCTGTGGATCTGCTCCATCTCTGGGCAGGGAAGGGCAGCACAGTGTGGGCTGGCACTGATGGGCTCCTCAGGCCAGTTCTGCCTGCCTGGAATCACCCTCTTCCCCAGGATGCCCTGGCTGAGCAGTGCCAAACTGGCTCAAACAAGCCCCAAACTGTTTGGATGGAGCTTTCTTGGCTCTGTGCTTGAAGAATCTTTAGTTATTATCTGAAGCAACAAGGCCTTCTGATGGTGTCTTGTCACATTTATCTTTTCTCTACTAAAAAGGCCAAAGCAGAGTCCACAGGTGCTCAGCACACAAAGCAGCTTTGCCTTGCTGTGCTGGGTGATGCAGGGCTCAGCCCTTGCTGTGTCACCCTGCCAAAAAAATGAAGGCCTTGCTGTTTCCACTGAAATTAATCCTTATGGGAATCTGCTCTCTGATGCAATGCTCAGCAGGAGATTTCTTTTTCCCATCACTCCGCTTATTTCAGCTTGAAAAATAAACAGAGGCAAAAAAGCAATAGACAGTAAAAATATCTGGGAGCTGCTGGAAGAGCTCAGGGTTTGCCATGTGCCCGTGGGGAGCGCCGGGTGCTGCCTCAGCTGCCGTTCTTCAGCACTGAGAGCCCAGGCAAAGACTCAACACCCTGCCTCCTATTCTGGCTCAGGATTGCATTAGAAATAATAAACATCTGAGCTCTGATTCCCAACTGGCAATATCTGTAAGTGGAAGGGAATGTACAGGATGGGAACCAGCAGCCCATGGCCCAAAGGAGCGAGCAGCCACTGCTGGGGATGGGAAATGTGTGGAGAAGAAGAGGAGGGGGCTGCAGTGGGGCTGGGGGTGCCTCAGAGTGTGGGATGGGGACCAAAGGAGCCTGCTGGAACCTGCATTCCTCTGGGAACAGTGGTGAGGTGGAGGAGGAAGAGGAGGAAGGCTCTTGTGTTTCTTCACTGCTTTGTATCTGGAATATATCTGAATCCTGGGCTCGAGTTTCAATTAGGGCCTAAAAAGTGCTTCAGTCCAGAGTGCTGGTCTGAGGCTTCTGTTTGTGCTGGCCCACTGCCCACAGCAGGAGAGGGCTGCTGTCCTGGGGCCTTGGGACCAGCCCTCTGAGGCCCATGGCTGTGCTCTCCTGGCTTTGCTCTGCATCTCAGGGCTGCTCTGCTTCTGTGTTCTTCTTCTGCCCCTGTACCTTTGCTGCTTTGCTGCTGTGTCCACCTCTCCCTGCCTTTGCCAACCCAGCACAGATCCCCTCAGTGATGGAGCCTGCGTTTGAGAGGGTTTTTTGCACTCTTCATCAGCAGAGCAGAGTTGAGTGAAGAGCAGGTTTCCTTGTTCAGTGGCTGAGCTAAAAACACTGGGGGAAAAAATCATGTGGGGTTGAGCTGAGATCTGTGGGAAAGGCTCCCTTTGGGGGTGCTCAAGAAGACACATGAGCTGCTGAGCACCTCCAGGAGCTGGGGCTGGTGGCCTGCAAGGCTGGCTGACCTTGTGCCTGTCCTCAGCCCCATGACAGCACTGTGCTGCCTCACAGACGCAGGAGGAAGAGCTCCACAGCCATGGGAGCTGGCTCAGCCTCGCCGTTCGCTTTTTATTCCAGGGATTGTTCCTCTGGAAGTTGTTTGTGGCTCTTTTTCTCCATTTCCCCTCTCTTCTAGAGGGCTCATCTGTCACCCCCTGCAGGTCATCCCCAGTCCTGCTTCCATGAGGAACCCAGTGAGGTTTGATGTGTGAGGTCAGAGAAGGCAGAGTCAAATGTCACCTCCATGTGAGATCTGTTTTCCCAGGGAGGGAGGAAGGGAGAAGCTCTGCAGGTGTTTGTTGGCTTCAGAGTGATTAAAACCCAGACCTACACTCGTGGTGTGCTCAGGGCACACGTGTGGGTCCCCATGGTGTGCTGGGCAGTGTGACCTGCAATCTGACATCTCTAAGTGCTGGGGCAGGGCAGGCTCACCTCCTCCTCTTCCCTGGCTGTAATTTCTTGCAGTGAACCAAATCATCATTTCACTGGAAACAGATGAGTAGCAGGAACAGGTCCTTGGGGCATCTGTCTTGTCAAGGGGATGGGTCAACAGAACTACTCAGACTCAAACACTGGCCATGTTTTGCCTCCTAAATGTGGCTCCATTCACCAAGAGGTGCATTCCTGATGAGATGAGCTCGAGTCAGGCAGCACAGCACACTGCAGATAATAGCCTGAGTGAAAAACCAGCCGAGTATAGGAATTTTAATTAAACCTGACAAACCCTGAGAGGCAAAGGGGAGAGACAGAGACCAGCTGGCATAAAGATGCTGAGTAATCTGAGTTTGGTGAGGGCTGTTGACCTGCTGCAGTTTAGGAGTATGGGCATGTCCCTAGGTGCAGGGGCCAGCCACAGGTCCTTCCATGATGCTGGGTCAGGAGAGAAGCCAGAAGGAGCTCTGATCATGCTGTGCTTTGCACAAATACATGAAACCATCCTTGGCAGCAAATTGGCACCAGGATGCTGGGCCCTGTTTCTGACAGCACTGAGATAATGGTGTATGAAGGGAGGATGGACTGTGCTCTGGAGGATTTTGTGCCCCCTCCTTGTGATGCAGATGGGGCTGATCCATCCACTGCAGTCTCCAGCTGATCCAGGCATATTTTGAGACCCTTTGCCCTTTGCCATGTACCCATGCCATGCTCCAGGACCATGCAGGAGCTGGGAGCGGTCCTGATACCTGGAGCCTTATCAGAGACCCACAGATTGGTTTGGGTTGGAAGGAGCCTTAAAGCTCCTCCTGTTCCACCCCCTGCCATGGGCAGGGACCCCAGGCTGCTCCAACCCCCATCCAGCCTGGCCATGAACACTTCCAGGGTTGGAGCAGCCACAGCTTCTCTGGGCACCCTGTGTCAGGGTCTCAGCATCCTCACAGGGAAGAATTCCTTCCTTATATGAACCCTGTGTCAGTTTGATGCCACAACCCCTCATCCTGTCACTCTGTCCTTGTCAGAAACTCTCTCCAGCTCCATCATCAGCGTGGGCAGTGTCCCTGGGCCAGGAGTGGTGGGTGGGTGGCACAGGCTCTGCAGCTGGGCACAGTGTCTGTGGCATGGGCACAAACCAGGGAAGGGCTTGGGAGCTCCTGGCTGTGCACAGAGCCTGGCTGCCCTTGCTGAGCTCTCTGGGGCATTTGACACACAGTCTGAGCCAGCTTTAAGTCCCCTTGGGCTATTAATGCAAACAGAAAGGCATTGGTGATACATTTTAGTTTAGCTGGAAAAGCCTTCAGAGCAATGCTGAATAAGGATTAAAAGGCCATTTAATCTATTTTTTTTTTGCCTTTGCAAACACAAGGAAAATTCAAACCAGCTGACAGGGCTGGTGGTTTTGAGCCAGTTGCAGCAGCCTCTGGGATTTCCTTGGCATGTTAGATCTGCCTGTGGGGAAAAGCTGGAAT